GTGTTGCTGCCACAGGAATGTTGAGAGCACAGCCAGATTAGGAACTTTGGAGACCCTACTTGTTAAAAGGTGTATGGCACCTCTGCTTGTGATTTAAAGTAAAACTATCACAGGTAAAAATGTTCTGGGATGCAGAGATTTAAATAGCACCTTCCTGGATTTTCTGATTAGAAAATTCAGACACGTTAATTGAAGCCAGATGTTTCTCATTGTTCTTGGTATTTAAGCCTTAATGATTCCCTTAAAGGTGCTCTGAATGACTAGATCCAAGGAAACCCAGTGGGATTCAATCCTGATTTAGTGTGTCAAGGCTTTGGAAAGGAGCACCTGTGTGGCTCAGTGGCTTAAGTGTCCAACTTCGGCTCAGGTCATGATTTCATGGCTCATGGGTTTGAGCCCTGCGTCAGGCTCTGTGCTGACAGCTCAGAGCCTGGAGCCTGCTTTGGATTCTGTGTCTCCCTCTCTCTCCCCCTCCCCTGCTTGTACGGTCTCTCTCTAAAAAATAAGCCAAAATTAAAAAAAAAAAAAAAAAGACTTTGGAAGGAAGCTGCTTAAGTGTTCGTATCTACTTTAAGAGTCTAGAGCTGTATATTCTTTCCTTTGCTCATCCACTCATTCAAGGGAAACCACTTCACAATATCTGGAAAGAAAGATCAGAAACGAATCTCCCTACCACTTCACACCTGTCACAGTGGCTAAAATGAACAACTCGGAACAACAGATGTTGGCGAGGATGCAGAGAAAGTAGAACACTTGCACTGCTGGTGGGATGCAAACTGGTGCAGCTGCTCTGGAAGACAGTGTGGAGGTTCCTCAAAAAATTAGGAATAGAGCTACCCTGCGACAGAGCAGTTGCGCTTCCAGATATTTATCCAAAGGATACAAAAATGCTAATTTGAAGGGGTGCATGCACCCCAATGTTTATAGCAGTGCTATCAACCACAGTGAAATCATGGAAAGAGCCCAAATGTCCATCAACTGATGAATGATAAATAAGATGTGGGGTGTGTGAATGTGTGTGTATAGTATACTACTACTCAGCGAGCAAAAAGAATGCAGTCTTGCTATTTACAACAACATGGATCAAACTAGTATGTATTATGCCAAGCGAAATAAGTCAGAGAAAGACAAATATATGACTTCAGTCATATGTGGAATTTAAGAAACAAAAATGAACATAGGGAAAGGGAAGCAAAAATAAAAGACAGAGGGAGGCAAACCATAAAAGACTCAAATACAGAGACCTGAGGGTTGATGGAGGGGTGTTGGGCAAATGGGTGACAGGCATTAAGAAGGGCACTTGCTGGAATCACTAAATTCTACTCCTGAAACCGTTACTACACTCTAAGTTAATGAGCTTGCATTTAAATAATTTTTTTTTAAAAAGCAACTGTTCCTTTCTGAGATGCAAGGAAGAGCTCGCATCCCCAAATAATCCCACTAGGACCATCACAGCTTGTTGATCTGTCCTGCACACACGGCACCGCGGGGGCCTCAGCGCCAGCCACTCACAACCCGTCCCATCACAATAGCCCTGACAGGCCAGTCGGCCAGGCCACACGCTGTTCCCGCCTCTTATGAGCTCCTATTCATCCTCCAAAACCCAATTTAAGGGTCTGCCTTTCTTAAGCCCTCCCCAAGCAACAGGTGAAATTACGCCTCATGACCCTTCTATTCGGTGTGTCTGCTCCACTAAACTAACTCCCTAAAGCCCAAGAATATGTCCGCAGGCTGTGCATCCCTAGTACCCACTGCGAAGCCCTGCACACAGTAGGACGAACGGCAGCCATTTCACAGACAAGCCACCAAGTGTCCTCCAGGTGAGCGAGTAGCAACAGCCAGGTGGTCCCTATCATCCAAACTCAGAGCTGAGTCCACCATGCTCTGCATGCAGCGCCCCCAGAACCTAGGGACAGGACGCTGGGGAACTTGAGTTTTCTTTAGGGAGTGAATGGAGAAGGGGGCGTGAAAGGTGCAGGGAACGGGTAGGCGGGAGAGAAGCACCGTCGGGCCTCAGGGACCTCCTCTGAACCGGGGTAGCGGCAGTGGTCAAAACAGCCGGGGACCGAATGGGAGACCCCACCAGCACCCCACCAAGAGAGCCATTCCTGTTCACTCACACAAGCTCACACTCGCAGAGACAGCAAATACAGCCCCTCTACCAAAACCCCCCACCGCTTCCTCCTTACCAGGGAAAGACGGCCATCTTCGCAGTCACATGAGCACTTGCACTGGGACCGCCCGCCCTTTTCTCCCTCCCAGACCCCGCCCTGCCCCGCTCCGCCCCGCTCCGCCCCGCCCCGCTCCGCTCTGACCGCCATGATTGTAAGGGGCAGATAGTCAGCCGCGGAGCCTTGGGAGCGCCATGATTGTGAGGGGCGGTCGGCCCCGCTGAGCCGTTCGTCGGCGCCATGATTATGAGGGGCAAGCACTTCCGCTAGCCGTTCGTCGGCGTCATGATTGTGAGGGGCAAACGCACTTCCGTTGTGCTGTCCAATGGCGCTATGATTGTGAGGGTTAGGTGCCCTCACTCAAAGCCCAGGTTACATTGTCCACTGGTGGCGCTACAGTTATGGGGACGGGCACCAGCATCGAAGAGTCGACGCTGTGCCGTTCGTGGGCACCGTGATCGTTAGGGGCAGGCACGCTTCCGCTGAACGGCCGCGACGCCATGATTGTGGTCAGGCATACACCTCCCCGCCCCCTCCTGGCGGTCGGCCACGCCAGGACTGTGAAGGTTGGGTATCCTTCCGGAGCACCTCTGTAGCTGCCATGGTTGTGAGGGGCAGTTAATACTTCCGGGGCGCTGTGCCATTGGCCATAATTGTGCCGCTGACTTGTGTCACCATGATTGTGAGGGCAAATGTCTGCCCTCAACACCCAGGTTACGCTGTCCGCCGGCACTTAGTTGTGGGGGTGGGCCCCAGTGTCGAAAAGCCGATGCTGTGCCAGTTTCTGGCATCGCTATTGTAATAGACACACTGCCGCTGCACTGCGACGCCATGATTGTGAGGGGCGAACGTACTTTCGGAGCGCTCTCCACGGCGCCATAATTGTGAGGGGTGGTAGTGGCGCCATAATTGTGAGGGGTGGTAGTGCTTCCGCTGAGGGCCGCCTATGGTGCCATGATTGTGAGGAGCACGCGCCCCTCCCACTGCGACGCCATGATAGTAAGGGGCGGACGTACTTCCACTGCGTCGTCCGCGGTGCCATGATTGTGAAGGGCAGCCGTGGGCCGTGGGAGGCGTGTCCGCAGCGCTAACGTACCGGTGTGTTGGAGAAGGGATAGCAGGGTGCCTGGCCCACCTATGTGTTATGGGAGCGAAGACGCTAACCGCGGCTGGGTGTGGGGAAAGGATCTGGGGGGGTCGCGCGGTTTCACAGCTAATTCGCTGTATGGCGGGGGTAAACCCGGTTCTTACCATGCCGACGCTTTCCCCTCCCCGGGTCTCCCAAGGGTTGCCCTCAGCTAGAGCTAAATCACATAAGGAAGTTGGGACTAGCATCTCAGCCAGCTTGGCAGAGCTGTACGTTTCTGTGAAGGTGGACACCCATTTCAACCCCAGAACTTTTGTAGGGTTACAAAAAAAAAAAAAAATTCCTAACAGCTACCGTATACTGAACACCTGCTATGACAGACGCCCTATGGGCACCTCACGTGCTTTGCACCGCAAAGCTGAGGTCACTACCCCGAACCACCTGTTCGGGAGCCACTGCAAAGGTAGTATTTTATTGTCCAGAATAATTTTGGTTGGACACGATTTTTGCCGTCAGAGCTGTCCTTAGAACCTGATGGAAGATGGGACTCGACTACACCATATTCCAGTTTTGTTCGCTGTGTTCATCAATCTCCCATGTTTGTTTCTAGGTTGGGTTTAAGTGTTTATGTAAATTCCAGTTAGGTTAACATACTGCATGACATTCCTTTCAGGTGTACAGTATAGTGCTTCTCCCTGACTTTTCATGATTTTTATAACGATTACCTATGCCCACTCTGGTCCCTTAGAGATAAAGCATTCCACCTCCCATCTGCTTATTTGTGTAACTAGTACTTTCCATTGGGGTGATTGTTCATGGGCTGGTGGGTGACCCCTGACAAAAAAGATCTTCGCCTCCAAAATGGGTCCTTGTTTTCAGCTCAAAATGAGTAATAAGGATTCCCAGTCGTACCTTCATGTCCACCATTCCCAGCGCATGAAATGAACAAGAGTTGAAGGGTGGCCACAGGGAAAGTGAGGGGCTCTTTCCAGCCTGCCTTGCAGACGATCCGATGCCGTCTCTCCTCAGTAAGAGGTAAAAACGAGGAGCACTCAATGCGCTCAGCGCGGATGAGGAGGCAGTAACAAGAGCTGGATCTTGAAGCTGTGCAAATGAGCAGCTTTGATGTGAGCGTCAAACTCTGCACCCCCTGCCCCTCGGCCCTGGGCAGGCTGCCAGCTCATGAAAAGCTAAGACCCTTACAGGGCCAGTGAACCGCCTCCCGAAAAGTATAATTTGTGCAAAATCAGCTGCTGGCCGAAGCACTGGTATAGGTTACACCTTAAATAGTGGGGTATACCTTTCGTGGGGCTTTTAATGATTAAAAAACGATCACATTACAGCATTAATGTTTTGGCCAGATACTTTTCAGTACCTATCCCTTAATGGTCCTTCCGTTGGTAAATAAAGATCAAACTAGATTTCTTTTAAGATGAAAAGTTTATTTTGCCTTTTGCCTAGAAGCAAAACTAGTGAAAATTAAAGTACAAAAATAAATACAATTTACGTTAATGGACATTCAAAGTAAAAGTAACAAAAATAATGTATATAAATTAAAACTCCATCAAAAGCACAAAACGACGTCTGGCACTTTTATGAGGAAAAGCTGTGAACATTAAAATATGTGGAAAACACACAAGCTTTTATCTTTAAATTTAAAAAAAAAACACTCAAGTTTCTCAACCTTAATCTAAAGCTAGTTTTAACTTTCCCCAAAACATACTGGGATTTTTTTTTTTAGCTAATTTGCATTAGTGCACACAAAATTTGTAAGTATCTTTCTGGAAGGACCCACAATAATATGAGTAAGCTGTATCCTGAGATTTCAGAATGATAAAGCACAATTTATCATATTAAGATATTTTGCTATACTTTATAAAGAAAATGTCAGTAACTCAGACATTTTTGACCATCTTCTGATTTCCTGGCTCACTCAATAAATGATACATCTCAATAAAGAAAATCAAGTTTACACCCTGGGTAGATTATTATGGTCTACAGCTGGATGTAATAGCTAAATTTTAAAGAGGACCAAAAATTTGAGAAAACAATCTTTATCACCACCTTCTTCAAAGGATATTAAGAATATATATAGTCTGCATTTTCAAAATGCCAGTATCATTTTAAAATTCAAGTTAGAAAAAGTAAATGTACATAGTCCCGATTTTATGTGAGAAGCACAAAGCCCTTTTTGGAAATGGCATGATAAATTAACAGTGGCATTCACTTTCATAAAATCATGTTCCCTTTGTAACATTTTTTGGTTTATATTTTAAATGACTACGTTAGTGATGAAAACCTTAAACAACAGTGCGTAACTTCAGTTGACAATAGTCCTGTTCCATTTGCAGATCTGAACTTGCTGTTGGTTACATAGTCCTTTAGTCTCTCCTAAGTCAAGCCAGCTGGAAAGAGCAGACCATGAAGAAAGAAAATGCACAGACCACCAAGGAAACAGAAGCACAGGCAGCATTACTCTATTTTACAAAAATGGATGCACTGATTCACTCCAAGGTGCTACTACATTCCAGAAGATTGTGCTATCTCCCCTCCATAAAGAGATTTTACAATTTAGGAGAAGTGTTTCCAAGAGTACTGGAGTAACATACATTAAACCTAACGTTTCTGCACAAGACAACTAGCTGTTAAGAGGAATGTACATTTTTGACCAAATCGGTGGCCCCCAGCCACTGCTGTGGTAAATGTGCGATGGACCACTCTCAGCAGGCAAGGGTTTTCTCCTGTGGGTCATCCCGTAAATCCAAGAATATGAAGACTGAGAGATGAATCAGTTTTTAAAGTTACAGAACCAGGAGAAAAACATTCTTCAGTAATTTCCCCTCAAATAAAACAGTATCTAATTTGTTTATCAAATTTACCAATCAGTATGCAGAGATGAATGAAATTTGTATTTGAGAACTTAATTTGTAATTTATCACACCTTTTTGACATTTTATAGAAATAAACCCAAATGCCCTTTAAGTTTAGAAAAACATTCTCAGCAGACATCTGGGTACAGAAAACAAACTTACGTTTGTACAGGTTAAGCAAAAGAGATGGTCAATTACTAAATACTAATGTGTCTTCACCGAAACCTAACATTAAGAGGAAAATGAGGGTGGAGGGAAGGAATTAGCCAGACTGATCAAGTTACCCAGATAACTGCTCAGCCCTTTGATGTCACTTTGCCTGTGTAAACAGTCCAGGCTTAAATAAAAGTCCTGGGCAGGGAAAACTGTATGCACAGGACCTCCCACCCCACCCCTTGGTTATCCTAACGAATGCTGTCTTCTTAAATTGTCGCAACATTTGGCCGCTTTCTTTGGGTTTTTCCTGCATATACTCCTAAAAATAAGAGCAAAACTAATATTATTTCTCAATGCCAGTTTTTCTGTAATACCATTTAATGTGTTTACTATAAATGCCCAGGCACTGAGCTAGGCAATGTACATTAGTACATTATTACATTTAATCCTTACATAAAATAATCCCGAGGTAAAAACTTACTACTGTTTTAACAATAATATAGCCGAGACATGGGAGAGTAAGTCACTTGCCTAAATAACAGATAGAGACTCTGAGAACCCAGTGACAGCTGATTTGCTGTCTGACCTAACAACCACTGCTTCCGACATTGCTTTAATGAGTGGTTTCTGAATTTCACTATAAACTCCTGAGTCAAGTACCAGACATCAAATGAGCAAATGTCTTAAAACATGGGATCAGACACTGCAATTTAGTTTGTAAGAACTATAAACAACTTTAAGTGCTTTGCAGCAAGCTGCAAGCCCTTGGCATTCTACTCCAGTCTTAGAGTAGGAAAGTCTGTCATCACAAGAAAAGCTAGCTTTCTATAAACTGCTTAATAAATAAAGATTCATTCTCCATGCAGATCAAACTAAAGCATAAATTTCAAGTTTGTTTGTAACACAATCTAGGCCACTAAGAATCTAAGCAGGAAAGAAAAATCTTTTCAACTGCAACTATGGACCCCTGTGTTGAGATTCATAGTTAGAATCTTAGTCATACCCCAATTTTTCAATTTACGTACAATGATAAAATTGTTAGTCTTTTTCAATTGTCTAGGTACTCCCGTATAAGTAAATCTTTAGAAAAAACAGGAAATAAAGTTTGTACTTGTTTGGATACATAATAATTATAACATGTTAATTTAAAAGTTAAGTTTGTTTATATTTATAATTACATTGCAATGCAATGAAACCACAATAGTTCTAAACACTGGACGTAAGTACATTGCTAACTGCACTCCTGCATTCCTAACGTGACTTCCTATTGATCCTTCATACTCCTGAGTATTACTTGCTCTTTTTCTTACGGATTCACATGGGACAAACAGTGGAGATGAAATGCATGAGACAAGAACATGGAGAGTAGTCACTGTGCCAATAAATAGTATTGTGCAGATCAATACTAACTCCTCGATCAACTGCCAGCTGGCCAGAATTTATCACAATATGTAACTCTAATATGGGAAAAAATGGAAAAGGTCTTAAAATTCCACCTAACTTCACAAGCAGCAGATCTGGTGTCTGCTTGGAATTCTAGTTACCTTTCAAACCAGGAAGCAGAAACATCTACCACATAACCCCCTTTACTGTAAAGTTTAAACAACTTTACTGACTGTCACTCACAGTGGCTTCCAAAAGACGACCTCTTATCTTATCCTCTACAAGTGCAACATTATGAATTAAATTCACTACATACATGCAAAAAGTCAGCAATCATTTCAAAGTTATGATCGGCATCATGTTCCCTCTTTGAACTTACATGAACAAATGGCAAAAACAAAAACATTTCTTATGTTGTCTATTCCCTCCTAATTTGGAGGAAATCACTTAGTAATAAACACTCTAAATATGCCTAATTGTATATTAATGGGAAGATTAGAATTCATTAAAGATTTAATTTTCATTGCCTAGTGATTAATTTTTGGTTTCTTTTAAATGTTTAGAAAGAAGTGTAGTTAAAACATTTTGAAAGTATTTTTAATGGATCACATAATTTTTAGTGGGCTAATCAAAGTATCATAACAAAGACACCTACCAAATATTAAAACATTAGCTTAAGAGTTTGGCATTAGTTTATTAAATTTGTCTTCTTGCCACCATAAACAGAATTTAAAATCCGCAAAATAACAAAAACAAAACTTACCCCCTCCCACCTGGCATATTCACATGTGATCTTGTGGCCAGAGGGAGAAATTTCTTATCACCTTATGTGCAGATGCAAATGCTCCTAGGTGATACACTCCCCCAAACCTCAACCAACATGCACAGATTTAGGCATCCGATTATTATACTTGACTCATTTATAAAAAGTTTTTCTCAATAAGGCACGTAGAATTCTACAAGTTTCTCAGATTAAAATAATGCATAATGTTTCAATGGCATTATTACAGAAACAAGACTGGCAGCCCAGTTGTAGTAAGGTCTCCTGACTGCCACAGAATAGTGACAGTGATCACTAGCAGGAATGACTGTGAATATGCCCAAATTATGGTGGCAGGAAAGACAAGCCATGGCACTTGTACGGCCTGTATCATGGGGCAGCTTGTGCACATCCTTCTGTGGAATGCGTGTCAAGAACTCGTTTGCTACACACCTGAAACAGGCGCTCTGTTAGGCACTCTGCTCTGTGAAGACTTCTGTCTATTTTGCACAACCCCCTTCACTGAGGTCTTAGGGGTTCTAATTGAATATAAAAAAATTAATAAGTCACTTGCATCAAGATCTAATGTTCAACATTCAAAGAAAGCAACCGTACTGCATCAACAGTTCAAAGTGCAAATATGCTTGCAAAGAATGTAAGGCTCACACATGCGCACAGCAAGGAAGCTGCACTTTTTCATCGGGAGACTAGAACCGAGGCTTACACTCCGTTGAAGACTCACTGTGGTGATGCTGAACTTACTATACGGACGCTTACAATACTAATGAGCAAAATGGTATGAAATGAAAAGTAAAAACATGCCAACGTAAGATGATAACTAAGATATAATACACAACAGGACACCAAAGGGTTATCTTTGAGCACAAAACTTAAAAGATCTTCGCAATGTTATAAACAAATCACATCTGTAAAATAGTTATCCTTTACATAAAGAGCAAGAGCACTAAATTATTTTCCCCCTCAGAGCTCAGTTTGATACAGACGTTTTTAAATACCCAGGTGTGGCATTCTTACCCTTGTCTACTAAGTAGCCTATGAACTGGTGCATTCTGTCCTTGGTTTGGCTGAAGGACTCTGTTGACAAAGTAAGTTAAAAAATTAATTCAAAAGAGACTGACATAAATTCAGTTATCCCATTTTTTTAATAGGTGAAAGAGGATTAATAGTGAGGTGGAAGTCATCTATCCAGATGTGCCAATATAATATCACAGAGCAAATCACACTGATTGAAGCATATTAATTGAAATTTTGCTCACCAAGAGCCGAAATCTTGGGTTTTTATCAGGGTGTTTCAACATAAGTGTTTAATTCTTGTGTTTTTAGACTGTTTATATACGTCACAAAAACCAACTTTTCCTTTCAAACATCCAAGAGAAACATCACTCTTGTAAAAGTAGAAAACAGGTCAGAAATATTAAACTAGATTTCTAAGGCTTCTTAAATAACTATCCTAAGTAAGTCCTGGACTGTGAGCTGACCTCGGGACATAGGGGGCTCAAATTTCTACCCAAGACAGCATGTCGTATAGAAAGCTCCGGAAACATCTGGTCTGACATACAGCCAGCTACACGACCCAGTATTAATATAGACCTTGGCCATTCTTCAGTCCTCCTGTCAGCTGGGAGTGTTTTACTGATGTCAAGTCAGAAATAACAACAAAAAGCAAGCTTGGGATTTGGCGGGGGGGGCTTTTTTTTTTTTAATAAAATAGCTTCTCATGGAGATGAAGTAATTTTTCTCACCTTCCTTCAGAAAGATTTTGTTTAACCAGAAATTTCTTATTTGGCATTCCCATTTCAGCAGCTCTAACACAACATAAAAATAAGGACACACAATGTATTTAGAAAGGGAGAGAAAACACTTACAGATGTGATATACGATGGCAGAAACAAATCATTTACAAGTTTTGCATTACTCAACTGTACTAAGTGCACTAGGGACAACTTTCCAGAAAGAAGCAGCTTACTAAGATAGTTACTAGGAAGTTCTTTGCATTAGGTTTCCCTCCCATGAAGTCTTTCGCATATTAGAAAATATGAGGTGCCTGGGGGTCTCAGTCAGTTGAGCATCCGACTTGGGCTCAGGTCATTATCTCACAATTCTTGAGTTCAAGCCCCACATCAGGCTCACTCTGTCAGCATGGAGCCTGCTTGGGATCCTGCTTCAGATCCTCTGTCCCCCCTGCTCCTCCCCCTCCTCTGCTGGCACTATCTCAAAAATAAATATTAATAATATATATATTCAAAAGATATCAAATTAACAGTGAATATAAAGATTAACTTTATAATGCTGAGTAGCTATTGATTACACAATTTGAACACTGTCAAATTTAGTAGTTAATACGTTTTACCTAAAGATGAAATCAGATTTTATCACCTGAGTAATAAAACTATTTATATAAAAAAGAGATTTCTACGAGCTCAGTTGTAGAAAAGTGAATTGTTCTTTTTTCTAATTTGAATACACAAATAACAGACCGATAGGTGACTACAATGAACTGGTTTGGCAACAACTAGATTAATGACGGGACAGGAAGGAACACTTACTTCATGTACTTCTTCCTGTCAAGGGACTTTTGTGTTGCAGCTGACAGGGCCACTCGTGGACTTTTCATTCTGTCCTTTAAAATACAAAACAAAAAGCTTTTGTGGTACCAGTAATATCACTAAAATAATATAGGAGGATCTCAAACTGCATAGAAAAGCTTCTCTTACTAGCATTTTAAACTTTAGTCTGTCTTTAGAACTGAAACAGTCCAATTTGTTAATAATTATAATGAGTTTTCCCAATGAAATAATAATAAACTTAGCTTGTTTTTCTTTGGCAACCAAGTAAGATCATTGATTAAAACCATACTCCTCCAATACTCTGATATATTTCAAATAACTCTGGTTTCCAAAAAAGGCAAAATCTACATGATAGTTTCAAGGAAATTCAATCAGGAGCCAATGACAGATTTCTTATAAGCCATCCAAACAGCATTCAAAGCTTCAACTTCCAAAATCCAATCACAAAACAATATGCAATTCTTTTAAATTTGTCTTCAGCATTCAATGTTGCTGGTAATCCTGAGAACTGCCTGTGCTTAAGAATTGCATAGAAGGTTGGGGTGCCTGGGGTGCTCAGTCCGTTAAGAGTCCAACTTCAGCTCAGGTCATGATCTCACAGCTCATGAGTTTGAGCCTCATGTTGGGCTCTGTGCTGACAGCTCAGAGACTGGAGCCTGCTTTTGATTCTGCCTGTCTGTCTGTCTCTCTCTCTCTCTCTCTGTGCCCCTCCCTCACTCACATTCTGTTCCTGTTTCTCAAAAAATAAAGATTAAAAAAAAAAAAAGAATTGCAGGGAAGGTGCTGAAGTCAAAATAGAGAATGAGGGGAAGATGGGTGGCCTCAGTTGGTTAAGGAAAGTGTCATACTCTGGATTTAATCTCAGGTCATGATCTCATGGTTCATGGGATTGAGGCCTACACAGGGCTCTGCACTGATAGCACAGAGCCTGCTTGGGATTTTCTCTCTCTCTCTCTCTCTCTCCCCCCTTCTTTCTCTGCCCCTCCCACTCTCTTTCTCTCAAAATAAATAAACTTTAAAAAAACAGAGAATGAAATTTAGTATCAATCACCCCAAACCGATAAGAACCTCATTGTGAAATAAAAAATATATTGGTCTCTGCCCCTAGTTCTTGCTAATATTTTATCTTTGACCCTAGTTTCTAACACAGAGCTCCTAAAACCCTTGTAAATCTGAGAGTGAAACAGTAGAAACATCTTTTTTTTTTTTTTTTTTTAAATCTATTTCTTTTGGGAAAGAAAGAGGAGAAAGAGAGAGAGTCCCAAGCAGGCTCCACTCTGTCAGTGCAGAGCCCAATGCAGGGCTAGATCCCATGAACCTTGAGATCAAGGTCAGAGCTAAAATCAAGAGTCAGACGCTTAACTGACTGAGCCACCCAGGCACCTTGGTAGAAGCATCTTTTGTTGTAATATTTGGTCTTTGATCTCAGTTCCTGACACAGAGCTCCTAAATCCCTTGTCATTTTCTGGGTGACAGGAGGATCTTTTGTTCTAATGGAACAACTTTTGAGGCGGCTCCCAGGTGCAGGCTATTCATCAGAAAGACCAAGCCTGAGTAGAAGCTTGGAACATTCTGCCTTACCTTCTTATCCTGCAAGACAAGAGAAGGGCTGGAAACTGAGTTAATCATTGATCATGCCTATATGATAAAGCCACCATAAAAACACCTAAAATATGGGGTTCAGAGAGCTTCCAGGTAGTGAACACATCTATGCGCCAGGAAGATGTCCTCCATGTGGACAGAGCTCAGGCGTTTGAGACCCTTCCAGTCCTTGCCCTATGTATCTCTTCATCTGGTGGTTCATCTATATCCTTGATTATGTCCTTTATTGCATAATAAACCAGTAAATTCCCTGAGTATTGTAGGCCACTCTAGAAAATTATCAAACCCAAAGACAGGGTGTGGGAACCCTGTTTTATAGCCAATTTGTAAGAAGTACAAGTGACAACCAGAGACTTTGGATGGGGGGATCTCAACTGCCTCCTTACCCTTACCCTTGTAGGATGTGACTCTTAACTCCAAGTAGACAGTATCAGGATTGAACTGTAGGACACCCTGCTGGAGTGGAGGAAAACCTCACACATTTGCTATCAGAAGTATTTTGTGATTGTAGAAGAAATAAGAGTTTTTTTCACTCATTCATTAAAAAATCAGATAACATACCATTTGCCTGAGCATTTTCTCTTTGCGAACTTCTCGGTCATGATGGAGAATAGACATTCTTTCAGCTGCATCCATTACAAAGAATATGTCATGAATACCGTACAGCGCAGCTCGCAACTAGGTTCAAAAGAAGAAAATATTGTGCCCATTTAAAAAGATGAGGTTAGAGTTTAGTAATATTCCACACATTTTCACTTGAGAAAAAGGTTAAAGGTTTAATTGAAACTTATTTTCAGTTGTGAAATGAAGGGAGAGATAGAAAGTCCATTTCCTAACAGCCTTCAGGATGGGGGCGTTTACCTGAGCTAACACTCTTTCCTGAAGAGAAGCATCTTGCGCTGAGACAACTCCTCTCTTTAGTGGTGCCTCTGACTGAAAGCTTCTTATGAATTCCATAGTGTCCTGTAAGAAATGCTCCTTCAAAAACCACTCTTCGAGAAACATTCATGATCACTGGAATTTCCTTTTGATTTTTTCTCAGTCAACTCAAAATCAGTGAGAACATAAAACTATTACTTATCAGAAGGCAAAGAGTAGTCTCTAAAATAAGACAAAAATACCCAAACTACTTCATTTAAATATTTTTTAAAAATTATCAGATTTTTCTATCAGGTTTTCTATTATCAGGTTTCTATAATTGCCTGTATTGCAGTGACTAAAAAATGTTGGATCTGCCTATGTTCTGAACAATTTGTCAACTGTAGCTAGTGACTAGCCATCACTGGACTGGGAGACTGAGACAGACATGAAATACAAACTATGGACAAGCTTCTTACTTTTACAGTTTGGCGAAGTTGTTTCAGTTTATCTGTCTGCATAAGCCTCCGAGTAAGAAATCCTTTTGCCACAGCAGTTACTTTGTTAAATTTTGTCTGTACTTCTGGACTGAAAACCTAGAAGAAATAAGACATAATGAATTGAGGCTCTGAGCATTATACTCAAGATGGTTTCCCAATCTATTACAATGAGCTAAATGCTTCTACATATGTGTGCTCTCTGTAGTTTCATCTCTGATAAAAGTTAAGCTCTTTGATGTATGGCAAAAATATCTGTCCTCATTTGTACAACCTAAGATAATGTACCTCTTTTTTATTTTCCTTTTTTTTTTGTTATCCCGCCCTGTTTTTTTTTATTTTCCTTTTTTTGTTATCCGATAATGTACCTCTTTAAAAAACATAGCTAGACAGACTGACGGATACACAAATATCATGAAGCTTGCCCACCTGAGACCATTTGGTTTTGGCCCTTCCAAAAGGCCTTGTTACTGAGAGTTTGGTGAAGCCACTAGGTGACGATCCCCAGAGGTAGAAGGGTGCTTCATTTGCAGACCCAAAGCTATGCTGCAGGGCAGAGTTCGTGAAACCTGGAGAAATAAATATACACAGAGCATTCGACTTGATGTTATATAATCAGAATATACAGAACATCCAAATAAACACATATGACTCACTAAGAATAACCGCCTCTGAAACTAATCCACGTGCAGACTTAAAATATTTATGGATTTTAAGCTTATGCACCAGATGGAGCTGCTCAACACAAACAGCATCCCCGGATAACTGGAGATGTGCACACAAGCTCTCGCCGGGTCTGAAGAATTAGATGTAATTTGAGATCACTCGGGAGATGGCAAACTGTCTTTGTAGTTGAAGCACATCACCTGCTGCGTGAATCAACTAAGCCTGGGCTCTGAGTCAAATTTCCTGTATTTTCCTTGCCGAGGTGGCTTTTCTCATGAACACCTGCTCACCAGTCTTTGATGTGCCATCATTTCATTTTCACTAGTTATCGGTAAATGGAATTACGTGAAGAACAGAGCTACAGTTTTGGGGCACCTGGGTGCCTCAGTTAACTGTCTGACTTTGGCTCAGGTCGTAATTTCACAGTGCATGAGTTCAAGCCCCATATCAGGCTCTCTGCTGTCAGCACAAAGCCAGCTTCAGATCCTCTGTCTCCCTCTTTCTGCCCCTCCCCACTTGCACATGCATCCGCACTCTCTCTCTCAAAAATAAACATTAAAAAAAAAAGCACAACAACTAGAGCTATAGTTTTAAAGTGTGCCAAATAAAATATCTAACTGTAGGGTAACTTCCTCAAATGGAAGAGAATTTTAGAATATTTACCAGAACTATTTGAGTTTGAAGTATGCAGGGCATCCACCTGAGACAGCACTGTTTCCAGCAAGCCAGAGTCCCTCGCTTTCCTCCATTCTAAGTCCACTGCACTGTGAATGCCCAACTCAGAGGCTTCCGCTGCAATCACGTTCTTCTCTTTCAACATTTTCTCCTGTTCTTCTATTTCCTACAGATTAACCATGTATTATAACCTGCTATATCTTTTAACTATATCCCCAAATACTACCATTTTAGGCTTTTGGGTAATTATTAATTTCAAGCAAATGATTAATTTCAAGTTTTCCTACTTCAAGTGAAAGCTTAAGTATCCTTCCCCTTCAATACACTCATGCAGAATGCATATTTCAGCATCTATGTACAAAATACTTTTGAAAATCTTAAGTGTTTTAAGTCAAGGAATCAATAAAGTATCCTTTTGATAAATCAGGTAAATTTTTTTAGATAAGAAGCTAAATATCAAACCTCACATTTTGGCCATATCCATGTATCAAAATCAATCACCCCCTTAGACTTGTTACAAGTATCCTATATGTAACGTGTGACCAAAATTCACACATATCCCGGGCTAAATTCCACTTACCAGCCCCACATCCCTGTATTTTAATTCCTCACCTTTTGCAATCTTTCCTGTTCCCTTTCCTGCTCAGCTATGAGTAGTGATAACTGCTGGGCGTGCTGTTCTTCTAGTCTCTTCCGCATTTCTTCAAAAGCTAGCATCTTACTTTTTAAGATCTCCTCACCTTCTGAAAAGAAACACATCCCACAAAATTTAGAAAATTTACTAATATCTGATACACAGTCAATTTAAATTACGCTTCTGACCAAGAGCATTCCTGTGTCTGACTCAACACAATCAAGGCACAGCCAGGTGCCCACTGTGAACCACATCCTCCTCTGCCACTCCCCTCACTGCCTGCTACCAAATAAAGGCCTGTGTGTCACCACCATCCACGCTCAACAGATCACATCACGATCTGAACTGAAGGAGCCAAGACTGGAGCCAAGACCGTGTGTTCAGTCTGGATTCTCCTTACTCAAATTAACTTCAAGATGTGATTCTGATCTGTATCTCACCTCCATTTTTCCTTCTGACTCTTGTTCCTCCCCAGGATCTCTGGTATTGTAGCTTGTAGTTTTGTTTTGGTTTGGCTTTTTTAAATAAATGTTCCTTTGACAGTGCAAAGCTTCTCAGCTTCAGGTTCCAAAACACATTGGAAATTAAAATTACATATATCGGAATTACTAACTAAAAAATTTGTTAAATCATTACGACTATGCAACTTACTGAATAGAAAGTGGTGAGCCACTCTGAAATGTTGAAATACCAAGTGTTACACAGATGTAGTGCATATTCATGGATCCATCGTGATTCAACAAAATTCAAAGAAGTATTCTTTCCCATATACAATGATTTTCATTAAAGATAAGCATATTGTCTACCTGCTATGGTATTCCCATAATTCGTTCCTAAATACAGTGGATTTATTTACAACAGTTTGCGTTTGTTCATGTGCAATTTTTCATAGGCAAAAAGGGCTGGAAACGCAGGAGGAGAATTACAACTTTTAGCAAAAAAGGAAAGAGCTCCTTAGCCCAACCACACAACCAACAGTGAGAGACCATTGAGCTCTAGCTTAAGAATTTCATAAATGAGCACTGTCCAGGGGTGCCTCTGACAGCAAGCCGGCTGCCTCCATGATTGGCCTCACCTCGAACACATTGGCCTTGCCCCTATTAAATGCTGCCAGAACGGCCCCTTGGCTGGCTTTGCGGACGTCCGCTACTCATGGAGACAGCCTCTAGCCATGTCGCACTGTCCCTCTGGATTATCCAGGTAGGCTCCCCAGATATGGACTGATGTCTCTATTAGAGTTCTTACAAAGTTACACAGGTCTTAAAAGGTCTGTCCCAACCCTATTTGTCCTATAAACCCTGTTATATTTAGTGTGCAACTTTACAGAATGTGAAGGGTTTTTTTTTAGAAAGATTACACATTAGAACTGAAACATTTATGTCCAAGAACTTCATTTACTTGACTCATGCCTTCCATATCAGTGATGAAGAATTATGAACCATGACAACAAAATAAGGAGTAATGAAGAAGACATGTTTTAACAAGTGGCCATTACTATAACACTAGATGAAAAAGAAATTTGAAATAATTTTTATCAATAAAGATGCCATTCTTGAAACACTACTTACAGAGCCTTATTTGTGATTTTTCTCTAATAATTTGATGTTCAAGTGTTCCCTGATGGACCAATTACATAAGGGGCTCATTACAAATGAAATGACTAAAGAAAACATTAAAACCACAGTCCAGAAAGAAAATATCATAGGAATACACTAGATTAAAACTGTGAGTGATGTTTCATGCAAGAACTTTTTCCTCTAGTTATTAACAATATTCTCTGTGATACAAAGTGAACTGTCAAAGATTCACATTTTAAATAAGAAAACCCTTTAAGAGGGGTGCTTGCATGGCTCAGTCCATTAAGCTTCTGACTCTTGATTTTGGCTCGGATCATGAGCTCAGTCATGGGATCGAGCCCTGTGTCAGCCAGAGCTAGGTGTGGAGGCTGCTTAAGATACTCTCTCTCCCTCTCCCTCCCCTGCTTGTGGCTCGCCGCTTGCTCTCTCAAAAAAAGAAAATGCTTTAAGAAAGCCTATCAAATGGCAATAAACTATAGCTAATTATGTTCTCTGAGAGAAATGAAATTAAATATCCTGATGAACAGATGAAGACAATTATTATTGTTGTTTTTCAAAATGCCAATTTAAAGTATTAAATACAGGTGCCATCTGTTTCACAGGTATCAAACACTTCAGAGTTTCCTTACCTTTGGAACTACTTTCTAACATTTTATTCTTGTTCGTGTAGACAGATCCCTTAGGGTATCTTTTTTCCGGCAAATGTTGCCTTTCCTGTTCAGCTATTCCAGTTGTTAAGACGAAAGGGCAGTTTTCTTTTTGCAAACTATCAATATCTAAATCAAGCCTCCGTTTAACTTTCTCAAAACTATTATCCAAAAATTGTTGATTTCCACAGGACAGTGTAGGGGTGTCCATCTGCTGTCTGGTATTCTGGTTTTGCATCAGTAAAGGAGATGGGTTTTTTACATCGTAAGACTTATTCAGTTCCATCTGTAAACTGCAGGAGTTTTTCTCTAACACACTGGCTGACTTGAATCCATTCACAGATCCAAAGTTTTGACTCACTATACACTGACTGGTGGCATACGGCTCATGCAATCTTGGCATTGCAGTACACGTACTGTCCATTTTGTGTGGTCCTCTCTCATCACATGTTAACTGACCTCCAGTGACATCAAGTCCATGAATAACCTTATTTTCTAGTTGATTTTCTGAAGACTGACGAACCTGATTTGATTTACCTAAAACCACTTCCTGTATGGCTTCAGATGTATTTTTGGTGACATAAACCTTGCTTGAACAAACTCCTGCTAAATCAATTGGTAACTTTGGCACAGTTTCAGGTATTTGTGTTTTTTCATCAGTATCCTGAACAACGAAGTCTACTCTCTGTTCTTTTCCTTTAGGACTTAACTCGCAGGCATTTATTGGGTTATTTATAAGTATATGACATGCTGATGATGGCCTAGAATGCCTTCGGTGCATTTTAGGACTCAGGCTTGGCTCTGGAGTAGGTAATTTGGCATATGAACCAGTAAGACTTTTGATAACATTATTTTCGGTAACAAAAGTGGGAATGACTTTAAAATCTGAATCAGGATCTAAAATAGCGTGATGGCCAGTTCGTACAGGTATTTCCACTGTAGAAAAGCTACCTAAAACTGATGTATTCATGCTGCTTGCTTGAGTGGAAGCACCTTGGAGAAGAACATTTGATTTATTAAGGCTTGGTTTGTCAGGAATAACTGAACAGTGCTTGCCAGTCAACTGTGCTTTCTCCTTTCCATGCTCAGTCACTTTACCAGCATCATTTTCTTTATCTGAATGACTCTCGTTAATACTCCTCTTTGCGCTACCTCTCAGACTGCGTCTAGATTGTTCTCTTTCTATATATTCCTTTGACTTTTTCATCAGGTTCTGAAGACTCATTATGTAGGGATCTGGAGTAACTTCTGAAAGTGATGGATCTGGTTCTTCATTTGTTGGCAAGGGACCATCAGACGTAAAAGTCTCTTGTGGGGTTGCTGCAGGGGTCTTTACAGAAGCTTCATTTTCCACAGGGCTAATATCTGAACTATCACACTGCTTCAGAGAATTAGATTCTTCAGAGTCCCTAGCTAAGTCTATCCCATTAGATTTAAATTGGTCCTCATTATTCAATGGCAAAATTCCAGTTATCTTTTCAAACTTTCCTAAAGTAGAGTGTTCAGTAGGGCTTGGCAAGATATTTGGAAACGTAGCAGGGACATTCAGATTTCTCTCTTCTGAATTAGAGTAAACTGTTTTAGTCTCCCATGGATCAAAATCACTGGCATTAGGTGCCTTCCTAACCTGAAAAAGGAAATTTAAAAATTAATATTCCCTTGCTGTACAAAAAAAAAGCCTTTGATTCATTGTTTTCTTTTTTAAAAAATTTTTAATGTTTTATTTATTTCTGAGAGAGAAAGAAAGAGACATAGCATGAGCAGGGGAGGGTCAGAGAGAGAGGGAGACACGGAATCTGAAACAGGCTCCAGGCTCTGAGCTAGCTGTCAGCACAGAGTCCGACGTGGGGCTCTAACCAATGAACCATGAGATCATGACCTGAGACTAAGTCAGACACTTAACCAACTGAGCCACCCAGGTGTCCCTGATTTCATTGTTTTCTCAAATAAAACTGAAACAGAAAATTCAAAGTTCTAATATCTGAAAACACAAACAAAAACTAAGATAACCTTTTTCTATTGTGTCCTATATCACATGGAGCTTAAATTACTATAAAAAAATCTATTGGTCATTCTGACCTGTTTATTAAAAGATTAAAGGAAATTATCTAATTTGATACAATATGTACATATGTGCATGGGTACACACACATACATTCATATATCCATGTGCAATTTAATCTTGGAATAGAAGGATTTTCATTAATTTTCTTTTGGTTTACATGTTTTTAATGTCACCAGCTGTTCCTCCTATGAAACCTGTCATCTAAGGATCCCAAGGTATGAGTTAAATAGCAAATAATTAAATTTCTTACATAAATGATTCCTTCTTTAACAAAGACTAACTTGCCCAGGTTATTAAGCAAAAATAATTCAGTAATAAGACTCCTGCCTCCTACAAGCTCACTCCAGATTTTACTTAAAATCCTTCTATATGATGAGGCAAATTTGTAGTAAATGAAAGCTCAGCCATGTAGCTTAAGTTACCTAGAAATAAAATTTTCAACTTAAAATGCAAATCATCAAAGCAAACTTCAATTTGATTAACCGACAGCCATTTTATTTATTTTTTTCCTTAGTTTATTGTCAAGTTGGTTTACATACAACATGCAATACTCATCCCTACAAGTGCCCTCTTCCATGCCCATCATCCCCCTTCCCCTATACCCCACCCTTCCCTCAGCCCTAACCGAGAGCCATTTTAAACAGCAACCTGTTAATGAGTTTTAGAACAAGCAAAAGTAAAAAAAAAATTCTAAATTAAGGGGCACTTGGATGGCTCAGTCAGTTAAGCGTCCGACTTGGACTCAGGTCATGATCTTGCAGTTTGTGAATTCAAGCCCATCAGGCTTTCTGGTGTCAGATCAGAGCCTACTTTGGATCCTCTACCTTCCCCTCCACCTCCCAGGCTCACATGCACTTTCTCTCAAAAAATAAACATTTAACATTTTTTCCAAATTAAGAGGAGAACAACTGATACACAAGAGGTCCAATAGAAAAAATTAAAATTACACTTTCTATCTAAATCATTTGACTTTGCAAAAGAATAAGACATGAACCAGGGGGTGCCTGGGTGGGCTAGTTGGTTGAGTGCCCAACTAGATTTCAGCTCAGGTCATGATCTCAGTTTCTGAGTTTGCGGGATTCTCTATCTCTCTCCCTCTCTCTCTGCTCCTCCTCCATGCACACAGCTCACCCACTCTCCTTTCTCTCAAAATAAATAAATAAACATTTAAAAAAAGAATAAAAAGTGAACTAGGATGATTTTTAAAGATTATACAAGCATATACTAAGCCAACAGAAATTATATTATCATATCAATATAGACTCCAGAAACCTGAATATTTCAAGCTTTTATGCTGCTGTGTATGTGTTTTTTTCCCCAGACCATCCTGTTTTACCTTACAAATCCCAAGACATATAATGGTTTCCAGGTACTATGCAATAAACACTACAACAAACTATACTTAGTCACAACTTCAGGATCAAAATAAAACAAAAGGGATACATATTTGCCAAATCCAGGAACATGTTCATAGGTTTAAATAAACTGTTTGTTTCCTTAAAATATTTCACATTTCACATTTGTATATACAGCAACTATGTTTTTGTACACTACTAAAATGAGCCTTAAATTTAATACAGACACTAATTATAATCTGCAAATTAAACCCACTACTTGCAGAGAAATGAAGGTGGCAATTAGAGGGAAACAGCCTCAGGTTCACTGTACATGTGTCATCTAGCATGAATTATACAAACTGCAAACCCTAAGAGTATGAAAAAAATTTAAATGTAGCCTGCAGAACAGTGCTATATATGGTAGAAATCATTTCTTCAACATAACTCATTTGGGGTTTTTTAGTATGAAATGATCCAGACCTTAAATTCTTTACAGAAATTTAAATTGAGCTAAATAAAAATAACTGCAAAAGGCATGAATGTATTGTTTAAATGGTTTTAATTTGGATCTAAGATGCACGTAGACAATTATCTAATCTAAATTGCATTTGTGTATTTAAGAGGGTTATTTTCACAAAAAAAAAAAATTGGGGGCAGTTATTTACTTTAGCAGAGAATGAGAATAAGGTCATTGAGTCAATAGTCTGATTAGTTCAGAGTAAACCACAATGGTCAATTCTATCATTTTGTCACTGAGGATTCCATGTTTTTAGAGTCATAAGACACAGACAATAAGCAATTATATTCAGGGTAGGGCTCCACTGTCTGAGTACCCTCTGATTCAAGTACTAGGCATCACTAACAAGCAAGTGAATGTTCTTTGGAGTAACTGACATGGATTATCACAAACCACAAAGCTTCTCAAACACGACAGTAAAATATATTGGTAACTAACTAGTAAGTGCAAACATACTTCTGAAAAATTATCATCAATGCTTACCTCATGATTTCTTAATTATAATTTTTATTTTATTTTTTTTTTTAAAGCCTACATTACACACCTGAACATTTTCAAGAATCTCCTGGACACGAGTCAATAAATCTTTCTTCTTATTAACACGCTTTCTTGTTTCTACATCAAGTGCTTTCTGCTTTTCTTGTTGCATTTCCTTTCTTTTCTCAATGTTAAGCTGAAAAACATCATCATAAATATATAATTATTTCTCATAAATATAAAAATATCATAAAATCAGGAAGCTTTGAACCAAAATGATTAAAACATGCAACAGATAAAACTATAGGGAAAGAAATTTGAACAGCAGTAGGGGTAATGAGGGGGACGGGGCATGGGAGATCTTTCTGTGGGTACGAGAATGTTCTGTGTGGGTGTGAGTTATACAAGTGTATGCCATATGTGAAAACTCATGGAATGTTAGAACTTGAGATCTGTGCATTTTACTGCATGTAAATTATTCTCTATTGAATAAAAATGTTAAAAAAAAAAAAAGAAAGAAAGGAAAAGAAAAGAAAAGAAAAGAAAAGAAAGAAAGAGGAAAAAACCTGTTCACTCACCAAATGCTCTAAAATGAGAGATAAAATAAGTCCTTTTGGGGGTGCCTGCGTAGCTCAGTCAGCTAAGTGTCTGACTCTTGATTTTGGCTCAGGTCATGATCTCACAGTTCATGAGATCAAGCCTCATGTTGGGCTCTGTGGTGACAGTGCAGAGCCTGTTTGGGATTCTCTCTCTCCCCTCTCTCTCAGTCTCTCTCTCTTGCTCTCTCAAAATAAATAAATCAACTTAAAAAAAAAAAAACATAACAAGCAAATACTATTTGTGAACTCTGACTGGACCCAGATTAGAAAAAAAAATAGTATAATAGACATTTTGAGCACAAATGGAGAAATCTAAATATGAACAGAATATTAGAAGCTATTAAAATCAGTACTAATTTTCTTAGGGTGGGATGATGGTATTGGGAATTTTATGTAGGAGGATATCATTATTTTTAGAATATGTACACCAAAATATTTAAGAGAGAAATGTTACATATCTTCAATTTTCAAATGGCTCAGCAAAAAAAAAAAAAAAAAAAGCATGTATGTATATACACACATCTATATATACATAAAATCACAAACACCATAAAGTAAAGATGGCAAAAATGTTAAAAATTATTGAATCTAGATGGTACATATATAGGTGGTCACTGTACTACCCTGTTTTTCTGTATGTTTGAAATTTCATTACAAAAAGCTGGCAGAAAATATCGATCTTTTAACTCATTGTTTACAAAAAAATTAATGTAGTTTCTTTCAATTATATTAATTTCCTGGTTTGAAATAAAGTCACACACAGTTTAAAAACATTCAGTCAGTATAAAAGAGTTTACAATGAAAAATCTATCTTCCTTCTCATGCTGTTTTCTTTTATCAGGCCTCAGAAAAAGAGTATTCTTATATAAAAACCCAAATAGTTAGTTAACAGGTTTTGAGTACTTCCTATGATCCAAGTAGCGTTCTAAGCATTTTACATGTATTAGATCATTTAATCCTCAAAACAGCCCTGTAGAGCAGACACTATGTTTATCCTCATTAAAAAGATATAGAGAATGTGGGTGGCCTGAGTGGTTCAGGCAGTTAAGAGTTCAACTCTTGATTTCAGCTCAGGTCATGACGGTTTGTGAGTTCAAGCCCCACATGGGGTTCTGCACTGACAATGCAGAGCCTGCTTGGGATTCTCCCTCTCTTCTGCTCTCTCTGCCCCTCCCAGGCTCATGCTCTCTCTTTGAAAATAGGTAAATATACAGGGGAGAGTGAAGGAGAGAGGGAGAGAGGGGGAGAGAGAGAGAGAGAGAGAGAGAGAGGGAGAGAGAAAGAAAGAGAAAGAAAGAATGAAAATGGACCTGCAAGTCCACACAGCAGGTAAGTGGCAGAGCAGTGATTTAAAGCAAGGCCAGCAGGCCCCAGAGCCAGGCTTATAAGCACAATTCTACGCTGTTCCTGAGAGCACGATGTGTGCAGTGATTTACAATAGACTGTGGAGATCCTTCCATGCCTGCACATTTAGGTCTTTTGTACTCGTTTCAATGGCATGTATGAGACTCTACAGACCCCAGTTTGTTAAACTGGTCACTACTGGACATTTACGTTGTTTGTTAATCTTTGGCTATTTCAAACAATGCTACCATAATCTATACATATTTCCTCTGGCACACAGGCCAGTATAAGTGTAAGATATTCCCAAAAATGGAACTGCTAAATCAAAAGTTATATATACTTTTAAATTCTGATAAGCATGAACAAAATGATGTTCAAAAAATAAACTCAGCTGATTCTCTCAGAAAAAATGCAGTATGAGCGCCTTTTACCCACAACCTAAGGAACACCAGGTCTTAGCAGATCTTTGCCAATCCCATAGGTGAAAAAACACTAACTCTTCCATATTTGTGAGTAAGAAGTATTTTTTCAATGTTTATAACACTTTCGTTTGCTTTTCTGTAAACTACCTTAGTGATTTTCACTATAGAAAAAAAGATTATGTAACAATCAGAGACTGTTTACCAGTGGAGAAAGCACGGCCACCCCATGGAAGCGGATGAGAGAGATGCATTCAGGCTGGGCAGGTAGAAAGCTCTCTGTGGCTAGTGATTCCTCTTGGACTCTGGCAAGGCTATTCTCACAGAACTTCTCATACTCCTCCATCTTCCCCCAATTACACTGTCAGAGAGAAAATTGTCATTTGTAGTGTGCTGAGAAAAACAGATCTTAATGATTTGGCAAATGTTACAGAGCACTTAAATATTTCTAACATTCACAATTCCTAGAACTGGCCCCCAGAATTTTTTTTTTCCCACTGATGAAAAGCTAATTCTTAAGTATAGGTGAGCACCTCGAGATCCTACCCAGTGAAGCCTTGCTTCCTATATTAAATACTTCCAAACATATGTATATAAATCAATCTTTAAATATGATTTGTTTAGAAAAGTACTAAGAACTCACCAGTGAAAAATTCTTAAAGGAACAAAAGTTCTATACCACTTTACTTACTTCAGATGATAAACTAGAAATTGTATTCTCCTCAACAGGTTTTATCTACACAAGAAAAACTAAATCATACAAAGGTAAAAATGCTTTTGTAGCCTAAAGGAAAAAAAAAAAGACAGAACGGCTATTTACATAAAAGAGGATATTTACCTTTTTAAAATTCTTTTGTCATCATGGAGTTCAAAGTCTATCATTACTTTCACATCTTGAAAATATATTTTGTCTCCATGGTCAGTAGCCAAATCAGTTACGGGCAAAACCAGAGTATCTACGGGCTCTCTCACTAATTCTATTTTATTGTTGAAAACTGGAACCACCGCCAAACTACTTGAAACAATCAGCCTAGTAATTTCACAATTTCTGGAAAAGTGTGATGATGATGGCTATGAAAACGCAAGGTAATCAGGAAGGATTAGCCACCATGTTCATTTAACTACTGTTAAATATTTGATTGTCTGTTTCCATAGCATTATGTCTGGCATTGTTTCCTTTAAGTAAGAGAAAATGAAAAGACATCAGACTCATAACCAGCAAGGGTATGAACTGTGAAAACAGAAAAACGAATACAATAATGTTCCCTTAAATGTTCATTTTAAAACAATTAACAAAAAGGGGGAGGGCAGGGAAATTTAATTGATGATTTGAGATATGCAGCAATGAAATAAAATAGAATATGATACTGTCTTAAGCGTTAAGGTACTTAAAATTTTAGTGCACTGAAGTGTCAGGGACACAATATAGCATAATTAGAAATGAAGAAAAAGCATATTATGATTTGATTACCAGAAAATAAGATATATTGCTAATTTTGACCAACTGGTAGTCTTCTTATTAACAAAACTTCTTCCTACCATCCCATCAATTCTAATTATTTCTATATTCAATTTATGCAAAGTGTGAGTTTAATTTCAAAGAAAATTAGAGTGTGAGATTACTTTGTAAGCTTACGTTCATAAAACAAGCAAAAGTAAAAACAAAAACAAAAACACAACATCTTACTGCATGACAACCACATGAAGGCCTCATTTTTCAGTCTGGATTTCAACCCCTAGTATCTTATCTTAACAACCAAAATACACAGAATCGTTAAGAGAAATTCAAACGACCCCATTTCTACTAAAATACTTAAATATATTTTTCAACACAACCCACACACTCAGCATTATAGGGTATGTAAACAGATGACTCATACAACTAAAGAAATATTTACTTTCTATGGAAACACAGCAAAGTATGAAATTCTATTTTAAAGGTCTGGGAAACATAAGGAATAAATAAAATGTTTTTATGGCAAGTTTTCTTTTTCTTTCAACAACCTCATGCAGATATGCCACACTGCTTTGAAAAGTTAAAATTCACATCTCTTAAACCACACACATTTGTCAGCATATTGCAGATGTACAGTGATAGATTTTTATTACAGCATGACTAGGGCATATGATACTGCATTAAATACCCCAATACAAGTGCTAATGTGGTTGATTATGGAAATTACCAGATGATCCTAGAGCATGACTGAATTTTTCCTATCCTTCTGTGTCAACGTGAATGCCCCCGCCGTCAGAGAGGCCATTCCTTCCTGATTGTCCCATCTAAATTAACCCTGCGTTCGTCGCTATCACATTACCCTGCTATTTCCCAGCTTTCACAGCACTTACCACTATCTGAAATTATCTGGTTTATTTCCTTGGGTTTTGTCTGTCTTCCTCCACCAAAACGGAAGCTCCATACGCACAGGTACCTTTTCAGTCTTGCTCACCACTGAATCCCCATTACGTAGAACAGGGTCAGCACACAGTAGGCACTTGATAAAAGTAATGAATAAATGAATTAGGGTAATTAGGTCAAACAATAATGCAAATCAGGAGAGGAGAAAAAAAAGGAGAGAGTGGACTAGATAGCAAAGAACCTAGCAAGGAAGAATGGAATTTAAAGAATGGTCGTTTCATGGATGATCCTACTCTCTGAAGAAACTGGTACCTCTAAACTCAAAGGCAATCATTTACAAAATGTGCATCGAATCACCTATATGATTAGCGAGAAGGCACTTCGCTTCTCACACAATTACCTCAGCAAAGTTTTTTTTTTAAACAGAGCCTTGACTGCAATGCCACTCCAACCACAAATCTACTGGCCTATCCTTTACCAGCAGGCATTACTGGTCCACTGGAATTAATAATTTGTCAGCTGCATCAAGTTCAGACGTGTCTGTCGTCTCCATTTATACCATGACCCTTCTCCAAATGAGACTCTATGCAAGCCCCATAGACTGGTGCTCCTCAGCAGTGTTCTACCAGAAATGTCACTAAAAGGGATGGCACAAGTAACACAGAACAGATCTTGCCTTGTTTTCAGATCATAGCTGGCTGTTTACCACCCCCAACTCCCAGTGCTCCCAAAGACAAACTTTTTGAACAGGCAATAAAGAGGAAAGCTTCTTATCCAGGCACATACTAGCTGTATGTTCTTGGCACCTTACTTACCATCTCTGTGCCTCAATTTCCTCATCTGTAATGCAGGGATAATCAGAGTATCTGTCTCAACAACTCAATGAACTAAAACGTGTATGGTAATTAGCATAACGCAGGACATGCAGAAATGAACTAAAACGTGTATGGTAATTAGCATAATGCAGGACATGCAGAAAGCACCAGTAAACGGGGACTGCCTTTATTATTAAGAGGATGATGATTATTATGATTTTTATCACTAGATTATGAATTCTGGGAGGGCAGCGATGGTGCTTTGTTCCTTGTAGGATTCAAATGTAACTTTAAAGCATGGAAAGGGGGACAAACCTTCCTCATTTTGTTGTTTCCAGACCACTCTCCATCAGATCAATCTCTGGGAGCCTGTCACTTGCCTAAATTGGGGGTTGGGAACCGGGACTATAACCCTATAGAATAGGAATCCCCTAGCAGCATCAGGGGCAATCAAGAGCATTTGCTTTATTAGCCTCAAGCTTATTCCCCAGGGTCGCAAAGGCAGAGTAAACAGCACTTCTAGGGCCTTTGGTTGTGGTAATCGGCTTTCAGAATGGCCAGTGCACGCCCGGAGGAAACTACCTCGCCAGCATCTTGGGAGAAGAAAAACGGTCCAGTCTTATCAACAGGAGATGTTTTCCGGCTCTGTTTCGAGTTTATTTGCTGGGGACCCTCTTGCCCTGACCCCAGCGCCCCACGCCCACCTCCCCCAGCTCCTCCGATATGACTCCATCCCGAGGGCCCTCCCGATGCACCAGCATCTGAGCATCACCTCCGCGCCGAGTGTCGCTGGTCCCCGGACACCTGTCTCCTCACACTCGGCGCTTTACTAGAGACTCGAAGCTCGGGGGCCCACCACCTGCATTCCGGTTTGGTACAGAATTCACCCTCAGCTCTCAGACCGCCAATGCCGCCTCCCCCGATGACCTAGCAGCCGGGACCCGCTGAGGATCTAGTTCCCTCCTTACGCACACACCTGATCTCCCACGGCCCCGTCAGCTTTTTTTTTTTTTTTTCCCCTTCGCCACGGGCCTCGTCAGGAAGGAAACGGCTCAATTGGTACTGACAGAGCGCAGCTCGGTCCGCCGCCGCCTTCTCCTTCTCCTCCCCGCCATATTACTGGTCTCAAGCGGCAACGCGGGATCCTGGCAACCGCCACTGCCGCCGCCAGCGCCTGGACTCCGCCTCTTTGGGCGGCACTTCCGGTGGCTGCTTCCGGGGCCGTTGGAACAGTTGGGCCTCCAAAAAAACTATAATCCCCGAAATGCATTGCGCGTCGGGGTACGCGCCCTGTCCCAGTGATGGAAGGCATAGTACTTGCGGGCAGCGCAGTGCACGCTGGGAAACATAGTCTTCACTGCAAGCTAGGGCCTGTAATATTGTAATTTATTACATTAAGAACGCCCTTCGGGTGGCGCCTGAGAGGCTTAGTCGGTTGAGCGTCCGACCTTCGCTTAGGTCCTGGTCTCGCGGTTCGTGGGTTCGAGCCCCGCGTGAGGCTCTGTGCTGACTGCCAGCTCAGAGCCTGGAGCCTATTTTGGAGTCTGTGTCTCCCTCTCTCTGACCCTCCCCTGTTCACGCTGTCTCTCTCTCTCTCTCTCTCTCTCCTAAAAGTAAATAAAAATATTAAAGAAAGAAAAAAGAACGCCCTTCAGGTCATAAGTCCCCTGAAGGGTTCCTTGTTATTGCTACTTTTTACTTATCTGTAAAGAGCTAAATTCTTTCTTTGTGGTCGTTGGAAAACATACTTCACTCACCAAATTTTTTCCTCCGTAAATAAAAAATTGCTAAATCCCAGATATCAACATGCCTACGCTTTTGCAAGTCAGTGGGAAAACACGTCCAAGAACAAGAGATAACAGGTTCACGATGGCCCAAAAGCCCCGAATGTTTTATCAAAATCTTCTATCTAAACATATTACCAGCTTTCCAAAATATGACGTAGTTGCCCCTTTCCATTTCCTAACTCGGTTTTACCTTCTGCCTTTCTTGCTGAAAGTCCTTCCCATGCCTATTTTTGCACATGTAAAATGAGTTTTAAGAATGCCTATCACACACACACACACACACACACACACACACACTGCCTGTCACAAGCGTCGTTGTGAAGAACAATTGAGATAAATTTCTTGCACAGCGCTTGGTACAAAAGTCCCACCACTAGCTCTTAGTAGAAGTAAGATCAGGAGGAGGAGGAGGACGGGAAGGGCCACTGGCTTAAAACTGGGATGGCTTCACGTCAGTCTTGACTGTCATTAATTGTTCAATTCACTTCACAGCTCCTGGCCTCAGTTTCCTCATCTATAAAATGAGAGAATCAGTAAAATCCCTTCCACCTTTATAATTTGATTGTGCGTCTTTTGCTACGCTCTTTCATTCCCTCAGAATCTGAAAACTCCTCCTAAAGTCGATTGAATTCAGTCTCTTTGAGATAATACTTACTCACGGAGACTGTTGTGACAATAAATGAGATAATGAATAAAGCGTTTGCTGGCACAGAACCTGGAACATGATAAGTGCTGTACAAATGTGGGCTGTACTCCCTAAGCACTATTATCCACTCCCACGCCTCCCCCAACGAGAATGAAACCCCAGAAGAACAGAGACCCTATAGGTCCCGTTCACTCTTGTATCTTGAGCGTCTGGACTGTTGATTGCACATCTTGAATTGAATAAATAGGCTAAGCGTCCTGCCCCTGCAAGGCTCCCTGGGCAGTTTCCTCAAGGGCAGAATGAAGAGTCACTAGATCCCTTCCAGCCGAACAGCCATGCAACAGCTCTCGTATTCCACCCCCTACTGTACTCTGAAAACCTTGAAGTCCCGACCCCAGACTAATGCAAAGCTATTCTGGAACTCGAGCCTAGCGCCTCAGTCCAACCCCGTTGCCATGGCAGCGGCTCCGCCCCCGAGCTCTGCAGATCCCACACGCTGATTGGCTGGACAGCTGGCTCCCTCTCCGGACGCGGCTGCTGCCGCCATTGTGCGGCGCTGGTCCCCAAAGCGGGTTCCCTCTGCGGCTACTGCCTTGGGCTTCCTCCCTCGCGTCTCGCTCTTGTCCGGGGAGCCCGGCGGGTCCGGGACTCCCATCCGTGCCGGTGCGGGCGCCGGCATGTGGCTGTGGGAGGAACAGGGGGGCCTCCTGGGCCCCTTCTCCTTCCTGCTCCTGCTGCTCCTGCTGGTAACGCGTAGTCCCTTCAATGCCTGCCTCTTCACCGGCAGCCTCTACCTCTTGCTGCGCCTGTTCAGCTTTGAGCCTGTGCCCTCCCGCAGAGCCCTGCAGGTGCTCAAGCCCCGGGACCGCGTTTCCGTCATCGCCCACCGCGGCGGCAGCCACGACGCGCCCGAGAACACGCTGGCGGCCATTCGGCAGGTGAGTCTCCCACGCCTCGCGCCCCCGCGCCCCTCCTGGGAGGCTGGACTTCTGCTTGACCTTCCGAAGGTTCTCCGGTGTTCTCATAATACCTTTCCCAGTTCCCCATTCGTACACAGGGAATACATCCAAGGGGCCCTCTATCCCTCTGAAGTCCGAAATCTCCCGACTTATTTATAGAACACAGCAAATACCTACATATTTGCTATATGCCAGGCACTGAGGATACGCTCATAAACAAGACAGAGTCTCGGTTTTCACAGAGCTTGCCCTGGAATGGGGGAGATCCGCTTAAAAAACACACAAGTAAGATACTTTAAGAGAGCGAAAGGTGTAATGAAGAAATACGGTAGCGGAGTAAGGAATGACTGGGGGGAGGACTTAGGCTATTTTAGATAGAGTAGTCAGAAAAATCCTCTCAGAAGACATGTCTTGAACTGACACTGGGATTATGAGAAGGAGCCAGCCTTGGATCTGGGAGAACGGTGTTCCAGGAAAAGAGAACAGCAGTGCCAAAGTCCGGAGGTGGGAATGATGTTGGAAGTTTCAGGTAGCAGACTATACACTATGTGATCTGACTTCAAGGAACAGAAAGACCGGCGAATGAAGTAGGAAAGCGACCAGACTAAGTACAGTCTCTGTCAGTAGTTGAGTTTATTCTAAGTGGATAACACTCAAAGGAGCTGTGTTTGCTTGTCCTCCAAATTACCTGTCTCCTTATCACCTGTTTCTCCAAACACAGTTCATGCCAGAGAGCCCTGGCAGCTAGACTCCTGATCACTTTCTGCCTCTTGTTCACAAGCCCTCCTAAGAGTCTTGCTCCCTCCAAGCTCCTGGCAGTCTCCTGCCTTCATAATAATGATAGTTTGCATAATGAGAGAGATTTATACTTAGGCACTTTTGCATTTGTGGAAGTACATCTGCTTCTTGCATTTCTCTGAGATTATTTTAACGTTGAATGAGTAGGAAAACTGACTCAAACACATGCAGCTCCTTCTGGAATTCAGACTTATGCTTCCAAGCCCCGGTGCTCTTTGTCAGAGATTAGAGTGTGTTCCGGGATGTAAAAACTTGGACTCACTGTCCAGCTGGATCAGAGAGTATTACATAATGAGCAAGTTACTTAAGCTTTTTGTGTCCCAACATAGTTCCGAGTAGGGTGTGGAAACAAGACACCATCAGGGCACCTTTCTTCACTCTACCCTCACCCCTGACCTGTTTTCTTATATGTAACATGGGAATGATATTGGTATCCACCTAATAAGTTATAATTCAGTGAGGTAGTCCACAGAAAGTGCTTGGCCTATGATAACCTCCACAAATGTAAGCTCTTTAGGCCCATAATCTAAAGATGGCCTTCATTTTCTTTTTTTTTTTTTTTTTTTAGTATTTTTATTTATTTCTAGGAGAGAGAGAGAGAGACAGCGTGAGCAGGGGAGGGTCAGAGAGAGAGGGAGTCACAGACTGAAACAGGCTCCAGGCTCTGAGCTGGCAGTCAGCACAGAGCCCGACGCGTGGCTCGAACCCACGAACCGTGAGATCATGACCTAAGCGAAAGTCGGACGCTTAACCGACTAAGCCACCCAGGCACCCCTAGATGGCCTTCATTTTCAACATCATCTCAGTGTAAATGAAAAAATGTTAAGTTTGAGGAAGGAAGGGGGTCAGGAAGGCAGCTTTTAATTTAGTGGAAGACACCTGACTCTGTGTTTGTAAACCAAGTTAGACTTCTCTTATGCTTCTCTCCCCTTGGTTCTTTGTGGGGCTTTTGTGAGTTTCTGTTTTTGTTTTTAGTAATCTCTACACCCAACATGGGGCTTGAACTCACAACCCCAAGATCAAGAGTAGCATGCTGTACCAACTGAGTCAACCAGGCACTTTAATATCTTTATATTTATTTTTAAATAGAAAGCTAGAAAAGCTGCTCTGTCTCCCTTCCATCACAAAGAACCAAGGGAAGGGGCACCTGCCTAGCTCAGTTGGAAGAGCATGCAGCTCTTGATCTCAAGGTTGTGAGTTCCAGCCCCGTGTTGGGAGTAGAGATTATTTATAAATAAAATCTGGGGTGCCTGAGTGGCTCAGTCGGTTAAGCGTCAGACTTTGGCTCAGGTCATGATCTCACTGCGGCTGTGAGTTCAAGCCCCACATTGTGCTCTGTGTTGACAGCTCAGAGCCTGGAGCCTGCTTTGGGTTCTGCATCTCCTTCTCTCTCTGCCCCTTCCCTGCTTATGCTGTCTCTCTCTCAAAAATAAAAAAACATAAAAAAATTTTTTAAAGAAACTTTAAAAAAATAAAATAAACATTAAAAAATAAACAATATTTAAAAATAAATAAATATAAAGATATTGAAGAATGTATTTTACATTCTATCTTAAACTCACATAGGTCAGGTGAAATAGTCTCCAGCTACACAGAATTGTCATGAAAAGAGATAATTATAGGGAAAAAAGTACATAATTTGTCATTGGCTTCCATTTCAACTTACCTTTATGTAAGTTGCCTTAAAGTTTAACTCAGTGTTAATTGAACAGAGAAAACATTCCTAAGGATTTATCAATGGTGTGGTGCTTTGGCCAGGAGCACATTTGACTGCATATAAATCATATGAAACAAGGAAGTGTGTATGTGAAATACACATACACATATAGTGTTTCACATCCTGTTGTGTTCTGAGGGAATTAGAGTAATTTCTATTCATGTCTTGTATGTTTGGGTTGTCCATATCTTTAATATGTATAATAAACATTGTGCCAAGTTGATTCCTGGTCTTAAGAGGAAATGAAATGTGTTAATTCAGCTTATTTGAATATAGATTAACTTTTTAGCTCTAACAAAAGTTAGCTGCTGAATACAGACTGCAGAAGATAAAGCTGAATCCTCTCTTAACTTCGAAAGGGACATGTAGTTTATTTCCATCAAAGTTTGGGTTTTGTCTTGTTCTTCCTCCCTTTGTATGTTTGCAGCTCATGATGTATATTCTTTTTTTTAATGTTTTATTTATTTCTAGGAGAGAGAGAGAGAGAAAGACAGCGTGAGCAGGGGAGGGTCAGAGAGAGAGGGAGTCACAGGCTCCAGGCTCTGAGTTGGCAGTCAGCACAGAGCCCGACATGGGCCTCGAACCCACAAACCGCGAGATCATGACCTAAGCCAAAGTTGGACGCTTAACCGACTAAGCCACCCAGGCGCCCCTCATAATTTATATTCTTAAGCATCTTACTACGTAAAAAAATCAGGAGAGACATTCTACCTGAGAATGGTAGAATTTCTGGTCGATTATAAAATTGATACAGAAGGAAAAACTTGAGAGAAGTGAAATGAATGTATTCCAAAAGCAGATACATGATTATAAACAGTGACTGAGGAATTTAATCATACCCACAGTCCATTCTTTGCACAGGAGTCAGAGTGCAGCTTTAAAAGTATAGATCAGATTATGTCCAGCTCTTATTTAAAATCCCCCGGTGTTATTCTCTGTTGGAATTCAATAAAATCAGAACACTTTCTATCTTGTATCTTTCTCAAAGCCCCCTGCTCTCTGTTCCAGCCACCCTGGTCCTTGTTAGGATTCTCTTGGCTCCATGTAACAGAGACTCTCACTTCAAATATCTCAAACAGTAAGAGGTCTTAGTATCTCACATAACAAGAATGTGTGGGAGAGGTGACTTCTAGGATGGTTTGTTCAGCTGTTCAATTTTTTTTATTAATGTTTATTTATTTTGAGAGAGAGAGAGACAGAGACAGAATGCAGGTGGAGGAGGGACAGAGAAAGAGGGAGACACAGAATCTGAAGGAGGCTCTAGGCTTTGAACTGACGGTAGAGAGCCCGACACAGGGCTGAACTTAGGAGCTGTGAAATCATGACCTGAGCCGAAGTCAGACACTTAACCAACTGAGCCACCCAGGTGCCCCTCAGCTGCTCCGTTTGTAATCATGGGACTCAGGTTGTGTTGATCTATCTGCTCTGCCATCTGCAGCATGTTTACTAGTCTTCATCCTTGCAGCCTCATTCTTACACATCACACCATCCACTCTCAGTCTCTCTTTCCCAGAAGCCTCCATCACACACACACACACACACACACACACACACACACACACACACACACAGAGGGTTTGGAAATAGTCCACTTACTCTGAAAACAAGAGGAAGCTGAACAGTGGGGCAAGAACAGGTCTCTACGAGCCAGGAAGAAGGGGAATAGATTTGGGTACACAATCAACACTTTGTGGCTCCATCCTACACTGTGGTCTTTGTATTATACTTACTCTTTCTCCTACTTGGAAACTCTTTGGTTTTTTTTCTCCCTTTGATCATTAAGGTCTCAGCTCAGATGTCATCTTAGAGAGGCCTTCCTTGACTGCCTTGTCTAGTGACCCCCACCTGCCTTAACCTTCACATTACTCTCTATTTTCTTTTTCAAAACATTTATCACCCTCATAATTTACATGTAACATGTTTGTACTCTGTTTCTCTCTTTTGAAATGTAAGATCCATGATCCTTTTCTTTCTTGCTCACCACTGTCTCCTCACTGCTTAGAACAGTACTCATATCTTATAGGCACTCAGTACATATTTGTTGGTAGGATTGTGATGTGCTAGTAGTCAATAAATCCATGAGAATAGATACTCAACATTATCAGCCATCAGGGAAATAGAAATCAAAGCCACAATTAAATGCCCATTAGGGTGGCTGTAACAGACAGACAATAACAGGTTTTGACAATGCTGTGGAGAAATTGGAACCTTCATACACTGCCAGTGGGGAAAACAGTCTGGCAGTTCCTTAAAAGGTTAAACATCTGAAAAGATACATCATGCAAAAACTTGTTCATAGCATTATTCATAATAGCCAAAAAGTGGGAACAACAGAAATATCCATCAGCTGGTGAATGGATAAATAAAATGTGATATGTTGATACAATGGAATAGTATTTGGCAAGAAAAAAGAATGATGTCCTGATACATGTTACAACAATGAATGAACCTTAAAAACATACTAAATTTGGGGTGCCTAGGTGGCTCAGTTGGTTAAGCACCCAACTTCGGCTCAGGTCATGATCTCACAGTTCATGGGTTCAAGCCCTGTGTCGGGCTCTGTGTTGACAGCCAGCTCAGAGCCTGGAGCCTGTTTCAAATTCTGTGTCTCCCTCTCTCTCTCTGTCCCTCACCTGTTCACACTGTCTCTCTCTCTCTCTCAGAAATAAAAACATTTAAAAATTAAAAAAAAAAAACATACTGTTTCTTTTTTTTTTTTTTTTTATTTCTAGGAGAGA